TGTAGTCTTACATCTAGGGATGCACCGAAATGAAAATTCTGGGCTGAAACTGAAAATTCTGGATGCACTTGGCCGAAAACCGAAAATGCTTTGTAATTATTATTTCATTAAATAATATAAAGTAATTTTGTAAGACTTTTTAATTTAACTCAATAATTTTAATGACACTGCATTTAAAAACACAAGCCAATAAAATAACCACAAATTGTTACTGACTGTAACACAATAAAATTGGACAGAATTTATATTAATATTGGTAACACTTTACAATAAGGTTCATTAGTTAACTACTTTAGTTAATGAACTAATGAACAATAGTTCTTCAGCATTTACTAATCTTAGTTCATGTTAATTTCAACATTTACTAATGCATTATTAAAATCAACAGTTGTGCTTGTTGACAGTTAATGCACTCTGAATTAACATGAACTAACAATGAACAACTGTATCATTAACTAACATTAAGAAAGATGAATAAATACTGTAATAAATGTATTGTTCATGGTTCGTTCATGTTAGTTAATACATTAACTAACATTAACTAATGGAACCTTATTGTAAAGTGTTAGCAATGAATGCAATTGTGACTTTTTATCTGACAATTCAGACATTTTTGTTGCAATTCTGAGTTTATGTCTCACAATTAGGGGAAAAAAAGTCAGAATTGAAAGATATAAACTCAGAATTGCGAAACATGAACTTGTAGTTCTGAGAAGAAAAGTCAGAACTGCGAGATATAAATTCGCAATTTGAAGAAAAATGTCAGAATTTTCAGATAAAAATTCATGATTACAAAAAAAAAACAGAATTGTCAAATACAATCTCAGAATTCTCTGAAAAAAAGTCAGAATTACATGAAAAATGTCCGTTTATATCTCACAATTCTGAATTAATTCACTTATATTTCACAATTGACTTTTTGTTTTCTCAGAATTCGTCAAACCGCGCAGTGACGAGGAGAGTGAAACATGCACGCTGATCACTGCCTGGCGGGGCGCAACGCAGCGCGCCATATATATTATTATTATTATTATTATTATTATTATTATTATTATTATTATTATTATATGTAGCCTATATTTTCGGTGCATCCCTACTTTCCGCGATGCCGCCCTCTTTATTTTACTAACTTACTGCATGCTGAAGGTGACCCAGCTGACCTCACCAGAAAAAAACTCAACACCACCATCTAGTGGATTGTAAATTGATTTTATTATTCTACCAAATAGTATAATGAAAGATCGATACTTGGCGTCCGTGTATCAGTGCAGTATTGCCGCGGAAAATATCGCGATACTATGCTGTATCGATTTTTTCCCCCACCCCTATTACTTGTTCATATGGCAATATACGGTGACAATTCTAATTTGGGTCATATTCCAAGACGTAGGCTAGAATCGGTGATTGCGAAGTACAGTAAATATCCACACCGGTGCAGTGACTGACTGCCACACATACTCTTCAGAACATTAGATTCATCCGTGCTGGAGCCGTGCCGACTCACAACCCACGCAAGCTAGATAATTTCGCACACAGCTGCAATTCCAGGTTTTCAAACAGAGATGGCGACAAAGAGGCAAAACTTACGGACTGCAGCTTTAATGCCAGCAAAACAAATTTGAACACTGAATCGTCCTGTGGGGGTCTGGTGTGTGGTGCCTGTAGTTTTTCAGCTAAATGAAAACTTTAATTTTGTTTTTCAGAACAGATTTTCGGGAAATTTCATTGTGGTGCATCACAAAAATTTATGGATTTTAGTCTTTCCTGTGTCATACAAGGTCCTATCTCCTTAGGACCCCAAATCGAATGTATTTTTATACAACTTTTCATGAGCACTCCATCCTATACCTTATTAAGAACCCTTCAATGTTGCTTCGAGTATATACAAGTAGTAATAAATGTCTTTTTAATTGTCACTCACATATAAAAAACAAAAGTTTTAGTTTACTGAAATCTGGATTTGTCGATCTGTTGTGTTCAGTGGCCCTTCTTTTTTTTTTTCATGATTTCATCTGTTTGTCTGTAGGATGTGGTGGATCAGGATGATTCTTCAGGAGTGCTCTTCCAGCTGGAGGATGAGCCTTTTTCCTGGCCAGGGCCTAAGACGCTTCATCTGCGGCGCACTTCACAAGGCTTCGGCTTCACTCTGCGTCACTTCATTGTGTACCCACCGGAGTCTGCGGTGAACTCCAGTTTTAAGGTAGTGTGCATCATTCATCACTGTTTCACAGAGTCTGCTTTCAGTCACTAATATATTTTTCATTCTGTGCATTTTGTGTTTTTTAACATAGAATTTTTTTTTTTAAGGATGAAGACCATGGTCACAGGGGTAAGTTATAATTTTTAGTAACATAAAACTAACTTAAACTGTAGTTGTGTTCCAAATGGCATACTATGCACGTATACCATGCACTATGCTCTCTGCCGTCTAGTGTATACATTTTACAAGGTTATTTTGTAACCCTGTATTAGAGTCTGATACCCCCCTCCATCTGCTACCTAAGCAAAGCTGTGACAATTAAGTACATGAAGTGCATGGAATACAGTTGATGTGCTGAATTAAAATGAACTTTTTGTCATTAGGTGGCATTTATGGAACTGCATTAATATAGCATTTCCTGGGTTTCCCCTATAAACACTAATAGGCATTAAAGGGTCATGAAACCCCAGACTACTTTTTCTGAGATTTTAGCAGAGGTGTTTGTGTTGCACATCATAGAAGACAATGTTAGCATCTGATAATTTTAACTGTTGGAGAAAACTGGTTAATTTTAAGCTTTTTTGCGCTATTTTCATCTTCTGGGTTTAAAATCTACATCGTGTTGACGTCACAATTTGTGACGTGGCAATGGACTATAGTACATCGATGACGCGTCGGTGTCTATTAAATTATTCATGAGACTGCGTGTTCTTATCCTATGAGAAGACGCTTCGCTTAATTATTCACAACAGCATGTGTTGATTTGCTATGACAGACGCTTCAGACTGTGAGATGACATCGCGCACATTAACTGAGAGAAACGTTCATGGATCGAAGAAGAGTGTTTGTTTTTGTTTTGTAATACGAGTTTGGCACAAACACGATTCATTCACTTGGTTATTATAACTGTTTTTACAGCTCTGTGACACAACCGATCAAAAGGCTTATATAAATGCCACAGAATAAGCCTTAAATGTTCTCAGAGGTGCAACAGCGCGGTAATATATATGTTTTCGATTTTTTAAATTTGTGTTTTTAACTCGATGGGAGCAAAATGAAACTGTCTGAACCCGAAGCTGTGTTGTCTGTCTCAACCACCCCCCACTCTCCGCTGCACACCACTCCCACTTTTTTAGCGTTTTTTAAAACTGTGGTGAGAACTAACCAGTGCTGAAACGTGGGGTTTCATGACCCTTTAAATGGAGGTAGATGGAAAAGAAAATGCCATCACAACTTCTGAAAACAGTTCCCTTCAGAGATACATTCATCGCCTAATTCAATATTTAGTATTTTCATCCAATATTTTACGCATTGCTAACAGTGAGTTCGATCTGCCGGGTACTGTATTTTCTCTCAGCTGGTCCCATCTCTTGCCGCTGTTAATGTTCTGTTTACAGACGTTGTAGTGTTTCCACACAAATGACATTTTGGGAAATGATTGCAATGCAGTTTGTGTGCAAATCAGAACAGAAATTGGCCGAAATAAACAAAAACTGTCCAGTTCCGCTTGATGACTGGTCGGCTGGTGCATCTTGGTACCCTAAAAGCTTGAATTTGTGCAGTTGTTCCCTCAAGGGTTGCCTTTTATTCACGTTGCATTACATGATAGCTTTCGTGGCATGGTTTAGCACAACCGCCCATAGCTGCCAGAAATAACTCTGCCAGATTATTTCCCTTGCTCAACCTCTCCCCCTCTACTGTTTGAACTTTTGACCTTAGGTGTGTTTTTAAAAATTACATCATTTTGTTGTAAAAGAGCTTGCCTGTAAAAACCTTGCCTGTTTTCTTTCTCTTTTAGTCTCCTGTTGTTAATTGGGGATATGAGCTTCTTTTCAAAATTAGCTAGACGAAGAGCTGTCTGAATGACTAGTTATTAGGGATGTTCATTTCGGTTATTTTTCCTAACCGACAACCGACGCTCGTTAACCGATTGTTAACCGTTAACATTTTAAATTAGAATTGAATTAAATTAGAAAGGATAAGTGTCTGTGACCCGTTAAAAAATACTAGCATTTGTTTTCCGGGGATTAATTTTACATACGCAAAAAGCAGCGAACAACAGAACATGAGGATTCACGTGGTCATACCACATCATGCACCTGCAGCGCTTCTGCCAGCGGAGAAAAACATAA